GATGGTTAGGGTTAATATCTATTTTATTTAATTTTTCAAGGATTTTAGGTGCAATTTCATTGCTTGGGAGGCGACTTTTAAGGTTACTATGATTGTTTGAGAATTTTCTTATTGTTTTCTATATGTGATTGATATTTGAGTCTTGATTTAGGGATGAACAGAATAATTTAAAATTTTCTTTTTTTCTTTCTTAAAAACTTCTACATTTTGCAATTTGTTTTTTTACTTTTAAGTAATTTTCTAGGCTAGGGTTGAGTTGAATTTTTTCATGATTTCTTTTCTTGTGTTTATTGATTCTTGACATTCAGTGTCCCACCAACGAGTGCAAATTTGAATTTTTTTTATTTATTTTGGTTCTAGGTATTAGTTTTTTAGCAGTGATATTTATTGCTTTGTAAAGTATGTTAAAATCTTTACTCACCTCAGGTATAGATGAGATCTCGCACTGTAACTCTTTTGAGAACCTGTGCCAGTCTGTTTTTTTGATTTTCCTTCTTGAAATAGTCTCGTTTTGAATGATTTTAATAATAATAATAAAATACTTTATTCATCCCAAGAAACAATGTGAACTTGTTTATAGAGGGACATCTCTATATACACGTTACATATTTAGTATTAAATACAATTTCAAAATTTGAACTTAATACTATGACTACATATTACCATTATCACATTTATAAATATCACATTTTAGTCACAATCTGTACAGATACACTAACAAAATAAATAAACTTATTATACAAACACACTTATGCTTATGCTTATTATAATATATGTACATATGCTCATACACGTCCATACCTGCAATTGTGTGGTACATGTTGGATACATGCTTCCAACATACTCCACAAACATTTATATATATATACCGCACACAAGTTTTTATCTTGGATGAAAGAAATTTTTTAAAGCCTTAACATTATTTAAGGATTTGACATCGTCAGGCAAGGTGTTATATGTAATTAAGCCTCTATACAATATAGAGTTTTGTCCATACCTAGAGCCAATTTGTATCAAGTCTTAACTATTAACGTTTCTGGTATTGTGGCTATGTATTTGATTTCTAAACATTACTTTTAGATTAGAATGTTTTTTATTATTTACAACTTTCTGTATAAAGGAACAAACTTACTATTTATAGATATCCAAAGGCATAATGTTAAAGTTTCTATACAAATCCTCTGTATGATATCTAATGGCTAAGCAATAAAGATTTTTAATTGATTTATTTTGAAGTGTCTTGATTGGTTTTAGTACTTTTTCAGGTGTTGAGTACCATATGGCCGCCAAATATTGAAGGTGGGAGTGAATCAGTGCATAGTAGACTGATCTTAAATACTTCTTAGGAAGTGAACCATTTAATCTGTGTAAAATACCTATTGGGCCAGATATTTTTTGTCTTATTTTTTTAACGTGATCGGAGAATGTTAATGTTTCATCAATTATAAGACCTAAAAACTATATTTGAGCTATACTTTAAAACACCACCCTCAATATCTAACGGTCGACTACTTGGTATTTTATGCTTGTATATAAACATATACTTAGACTTTTCCACATTTAAAGTGAGCAATATAACGCTCTAAAATGTCCACTGAATTCGAGAAGTATACAAGGGTAGAATCATCCGCAAACAAATGTATTTTTCCTTTAAGCGATAAATTAGTTAATGAATTTATATAAATGAGGAATAGGGTTGGGCCCAATATTGAGCCCTGTGGAAACCCATAGTCTATGTTTTTCTCATCACTTTTTATGTTACCTATCTGAACAGATTGTCTTCTATCCCTTAAATAATTCTCGAACCATACATTTCCCACACCGAGCAATCGCAACTTTTTTAATAGCACATCGTGCCGTACTGTATCAAATGCCTTGCAAAGGTCCAACGCGCATTTTAAGTTTTTATCAAGGTTAAGCTGTATCTCAGTAATTAGGTCAATTGCTGCCAAGCTAGTGTCGCTAAACCTGCGGAAGCCATAATGAAAGTCTGAAAAAAATCCCACATTATTCAGATACGCTATAATTTGACAATTTACAATTCGCTCCATGATTTTTGAGAATACAGGTAAAACAGATATAAAGTCAAGTCAAATCCAAGCCGAACTCGACATAAACACAATCATGCGTTGTCCATGCTCTATTCACGTGATCGACGAAAATTGTTGCACTGGGCCGTATTAAAATATATTGAATCAATATTATTGATCATTTAATATTTTAAATTTATTTTTTAAACTTTGATGGAAAGGTGTTAAAATATTTATAAAAGTTATATTTTTTAAATTACGAAATTAACAAAATTTTGGGAAATAATTTCATTATTATTTTAAATTTATTTTTTTAAACTTTAATGTAAAGTTTTTAAATTTTTATAAAAATGATATTTTTTAAATTAACTTCACGAAATTTTTGAAAATTATTTTAAATTAATTGTTTTAAACTTTAATAATTAAAGTTTAATGTGAAAGTTTTAAAACATTTAAAAAATATGTTTTTTTAAATTACAAAATTAACAAACATTTTTGAAAATGTTCAGCTTCGTCTGTGCTAGACATCGCACTTAATTGAATAATATCAATAAAAACCAAATAACCACAACAATGATAGCAATAACAACAACAATAACAACAAATAACGTTATATAACAAGTATTAATAATAAAACAATAACAAAAATAACCACAAAGATGAAAGCCGCGAAAACAAGGAAGTAATCAAACAATACGCTATTAATAACCGCAATGGACATAATGCGGCCCTGACAAGAATTTTCGGCACGCTTCACAACTCAGACTCGCCCAATAAGAACCGTTCTATCCACCTGCAAACGACTGATCACGCGTCTGGCGTTTTTTGTTTTAGTTTGTCTTGGATTTGACTTCACTTTAGGTCTGTAGTTGTTTACACAAAATTTATGTCCACCCTTGAAAAGTTGAATTACTTTTGCTATTTTCATACCACCCGGAACTTGCCCATACTTAAGAGATTGGTTTATAATTTTACATAACACTGGTGCCAAGTCTTCTTTACATTTTTTTACTATTTTTACATCTACGTTATCAATGCCAGATGTCTTGGAAGAATCCAACCCGGATACTAAAGTGTTCACCTCGTCTATTGTTACTGGAGTGAACTCAAAGGTTCTGCTTGATTTTTCATTAGTCTCATCCAGTGTTGTATCAGGTATACTTTCTGCAAGATGTTTGCCTATTGTTGAAAAAAAATTATTCATTACATCACCCACTTCCTTCTGATCCTTAATCATAACCATGGTGCCCTGGTCACAAAGTACAGTAAGTTCCTGCGATTTGATAGTGTCAATATTCCTAATCAAAGTATTTGATTTGGAGTTATTACAAAAAAATTTGAGATAAATGTGGGGTAATGATCGCTAAAGCCACAGTCAGGGATTCTTATCCATGAGGATTTGGTTGTGAATTCAGCTGATACAATGGATAGATCTATTGGGCTGTTGTGTTGATTTGGGTTTTGCAACCTGGTACTGCAGTGGTCGTTGATAACTAGATTTTTGTCTGAAATGAATTCAGATATAATTTTGCCTTTATGGTTAACATGAGCACTGCCCCAAGTGTTGTGGTGTGCGTTTAAGTCTCCCACAATATGCAACTGTCCATTTAACTCACTGACGAGGTTATAGAAAGCATTTTTTGGTATTTTGTCTTGTGGGGGACAATATATACCTATAATATTTAAATTATCGACTATAATGATAATTAAAATCTGGAGAAAATGAGGTTACAATATTTTTTTATACTACTAAATAATAGCCTGCATTATCTCTCGTATAATAATATACTATTGTCACCACCTTAACTGTTTTTAGTAAGTAAGCAAGTTCTGAATTTAAATAAAATTATTTTATGTCCTTGGTAGCTGACATTTTTTATTTATTGTTGTTTTTCACAACTGATTATACAAAATTTCCGCGTTTTATAAAAATGGCACCATTAGGTTTTTATTTTCAAAATAATTGACCTTGACCTTGATGTTCAGTGTTTGCCAAAAGTATGGAAAATTAACTATAAAATATATTATTATTTCAAATTAAACAAAAGTTTCCTCAAATTGAATGCTATGCTGGAACAACATTGTAACCATCAAAATAAATACATATATTAATATTATATAATTAATTAATTTATTAATAATATATTACTATTTTTATTTAATAATATAATAATGATTATTCTTATTATTACATATATTTGAACTCGACATTTACACTTAAATATTCTAGAGATAGACCCACAGACCCACAGGTCTGTGGATAGACCTATAAAACATACAGTCTAAGCTTAGATTCTACAATACCCCACTGTTTCAATAGTTAATTTGTTTAAAGTGCAAATTTATAGAATTATATTATATAAAATGCAATTAATATAATATATCCTATTATAATTATTAAATACATGTAATTTTAAATTATGAAAGTTGTGTTCTCACACAGTGTGGAGAAAATTCAGGGGCATATTCTACTACTAAAAATACAAAAACAAGTTTCTATATTTTTTAAAAATTTCAAAATATGTACAGCTAGGTAGCTTATACAACATAACGCAGAAAAGACCACCATTGTATTATAACAAAAACACAAAACAAACTTGTCCCTTCAAGTTTATGTTTGGTTCAGTTTTCACTTCGATACACAACAGTAGGCGGTTCGCGTCCATTTTTTTATTATGTCTATGGCCTAAATATTATGTAAGTAAGCTAAACGCCATTACCCCTGAAATATTTAGACACTGTTCTGTGTTCAGATTGTTAAAGAAGAAGAATAAGTACATGTCAGTTAAAACATAAGTAGCCACTTTTTAAACTTTGTGCTTAAACAATACAACAGGTTTTATCAACAATTCACAAAAAGTTATGATGCCTTTGATAATAATAACAATATTGTTATTAATAAAACATTTTTTTGTTATTAATATAATTAATAATTCAACAATTTATCCAAACACTTAAAACTTTTTTTAGGACTATGATGGCTTTGACATGGCAAACGAAATCGATGAGATGGAAAAATTCTTGAAGTTGGCGCCAGACGATTCGTCGCCTGCAGTTACATCTAGCGCTGAAATCAAACTGGATAACGGCAATGCCAAAAAAGATGCAGAGGAACCGATAATCTCAAACGACCAATCGGACGTCGTGGATTCCACGAATCAAGAAATAGAAGAAAACTCCAACGAAGTGCCTGAAGAAAAAAAAGTGGAAAACGGAAACCATGAAGAAAGTGGGGACCAAGCAGATAAGGAAGAAGAAAAAGAAGAAGTAGACGCAGAAGAAGACACAAAGGCTGATGATTCCTAATCATTAAATTTTTTTATTTTTATTATAATTATTATTTATATGCGCACTGAATCACAATTACTCATTAATTTATCTTCTCTTTTATCGCTTTATTTCTTGCCAAGGCAAGTCTTCATTTTTAAGTATTATAAAAATTATTATTATTATTTATGCAAACAATAATAAGGTTATGGTCCTAATGTGCTTCAAACAATATTGTTATATTAAATGTTACTGTTGAAGTTATTTCGGATTTTGTAAATATTCCTTATAAAATTGAGTTCTTTAATAAATCTTTTACCAAACTAATGTGTTTTAAATTAAAATAATGGTTATATTATTTAATTTACAATATTCATTTTAAAATAATAATAATTTTGAATTAAAATAATTTATACTAGAGAGGTATTAATAAACTATTACCCAATAGTTTAATTTAAAATCAGCAGACAAAATTAATGAACTCACACAAATTTGGCGTATATACTAATAAATAATAAAAATCTACTGTTACTATATAGTAACAGTAGATTTTTATTATTTATAATAAAAATCTACTGTTACTATATATGTAGTAACAGTAGATTTTTATTATTTATTAGTATAATCCATGGAGCCTACACAAGGAGTCCGAATTCCGAAGTTAACTTTATGTAGACAAAGATCTTCCTAAGATAAGAGGGCGCTGGTCAGTACTGTCCGTTCAGGCTAAGTTGAGCGGTCTTAGGAATGTCACCCCGTCCATCATCTCTATGTTTAGTCACAATTAAATACATGTATTTCGGTAGCCGCTCTGTACCAACAAACCGCAAGCCCCGGCACTGATAAATCATCTTCTTGTTACCGAAATCTTGCGAGTATTAGATATTTAATTTAATCAACGGTCACAAGATCCCCCACCAAAGCGCTCAACTTAGCCTGAACGGACTCCACGCATCTTTGAATTAAAAACCTCAGGAAGGACCCTGTCGAATCTCGTTAATGTAATAAATTTACGACGGAAGTCGAGATTTTAGAAGTCCGATTATGAGTCATTTTTTCTTACAGATGATGTTTATTTACTTGTTTAAGCGTTTTTTGTTGTTTAATAGCGCTTATGGTTTGTTATATGCGTTTTTGTTATTTAAAAATTAAACCTTGCAAAGAATTAAACGTTATAGCTGGCGGAAACGATAGTCCGCCATTTGTGGCGACCAATTGTTTAGCCCCCTGTGCGGTCAGCTATTTTCTATCATTTACTATAACCAAAATTATATTCACCCCTAGTTCTACTCAATCATAGAAATCCCCGTTCTCAACGTAACCAATTATAAATTTAAGGTCCCTAGAATTTGCCAACTAAACCCGTCAAATTCCGAATAAAACAAAACGAACTGTAGGTACCTTGTATATCATCCTAAGGCAATCGCTAAATAAAAACAAGCTTTATTCCAACCAAGAAGTCCAGGGCTGGGTGCTCCCGCGGGGGGATGAACCACGCGTGGACGAGTTTTGGTTCGTGCCGCGCATGACGTCATTCGATGAGTAGTTGCCGCGCGAATACACGAATAATAGTAATATTATCAAAGAAAATAGAGAAATATCTGGAAGAAAGTGTTATAATATGGATGATAGATGCTTTCAGTCCACGATAACATTTAGGGTTGTAGTTTAAGAGTTGGTGTTTTAAATTAAACTTATAGTCACTGTCCAGAAAATGTTTAGAGCAAACAGAAGTGGTCTTAACGTTAATATTGTCTATTATTTTGTGGCATTTAACCACTGTTTGCACAAATCAAAATTTTTCGGGAATCGATGAAATTCAATTTTTTTTATTTAAAGGGTTTTTCTTGTAGGTAGTGGTTGTCCGAATTGTATCCAAATATGCCACACCGCATTTGCAAATTGCAAATGGCACGACACAAACTAAAACACCAACAAAATAAGTTAACGCAACACAAAAACATTAAGAAACAAACAGAATAGGTTAACACAACGCAATAACAATAATTTGAAGAATGAAAAGTAATTCGAACCTTACCAAACTCAAAAACAACAAGATAAACAAAAAAAACAAAGAAAGTTAACATCCAACAGCATCGCATACACAAGAATTTTAGCAGCAGATAATTAAAACGCACGTTACAGATTTAAAGATTCTTAACGAGTGACGTATTTAAGCCCTGTCCAACATGCGCACCATCCTATCTTAAGGTGTTTGTAAGTTACAAATTGTAACTTGCAAGAACTCTGACTTCTTGATTTAAATTTTTGAGTCCGTCCCTGTCTATTTAAAATTATGTGATTTTAAATTAAGTTGGCAGCAGTGGTTTTTAACATCAACTTGACAGAAGTAGATATGGCTGCAGTTATAAATTTAAGTCAAACTAATTTTAAATTGTTAAATTTATATTTAAAGAAAACATATAGTTATAGGAATTTCAGTCACTTACATGCGAAGCGAAAAATATACCACAGCTATATTCCCATTGTTATCCAAACGCAACAGGTAAGATTTTTACGTAATTTTAAGGTTATACTTAAAATATCATAAATATTATTTTTCTGTTTATTATCAATGTTTGTGTTATGAAATTTGATAATTTTAATTTGGAAAGCGTGCATTTTAATGATTGTGATTAATAAAATTTGTAATAAATGTTTGTTTTTAGTCAAGTTCCAGTTCCAAAGATATTGAGGGTGGTAAAAAAGTACTACTTGGGGGAGGAATTTTAGCCTCAGCTTTAAAACGAATAACTTTTAATACTAGAAAGACTCCACCTGTAAGAGGATGTTTTCATCCAGGTAAAATAATTATATTCCCAACAATGTCTTGCTAAAAAAAAGGCTGTATGCACAATATTAAGAAGGTACCTAATACCCTTAGAGTAATTTAGAGTTACTCTAAGGTAATACCCAACATGATATCTGGTAATATTAGTGATAATTTATTTCTTAATATTGCAGAAATGGCATTATGACTTAGCAGGGAAAAACATGTTTTTTTTTTATATGTTGAACAAGCTAAAAGTTCCAATAATTATTTTTATCATGCTTTCTTTTTCTTTTCTTTAAAGTGCCTTTACCATTTTTTGATAAAATTAGTAATTTAAAACATGCTTGGGATAATAATAATAAGTATATATATATAAAGGGTGTCCGGGAAAAGGAGGTCAATCCGTTAACCATATATTCTTTGAGTTAAAACAATAAGACTTTCATATTATCATTTTTCAATTTAGAGCTTCATGTTCGATATACAGGGCGACAAAGTTTGAAATTTAAAACTGATTTTTTTTAATAATTCAAGTAATTGATAAGGGAAACTATACAACTATACTATACCTACTATACTGCTGGGAAGATATTAATACAAATATTGTATTAAATTTAATTTAGTTCATCCCAAATAGATTGGCTCAAGTAATAGAAAAACAGGGATGCATGACTAAATGTTAAATTTTTTTTAATGTTTGTTTTTTTCATTATTAAAAGGTAATAATTTTTGTAATATTATTTAATTAACCTACGACGTCAATGCTCTTTATAACCTATAATAATTATTTTAATGACTTATGTCAGTGATAACTTATCACTGATAAGCCGGTTTTAAGCAATAATATTATTTTGACAGTTTTCTCTCATTCTAATTCTTGTACGCTTTTTTATTGAATACAACTGTAATTGATAAGATATTAAGTTTAAATTCGGTACACTACTTCAACATAAATAGTTACATTTTTTGAGACCAACAAAACAAAAAACAATTGTCAAATAATCAAAATAGGGGGGTCCAGTACTCACTGACTCCCCCTATTTTTTAGTACGTGCGCCAATGACTTCCAAGCGGTATTTTTTTAGGTAATAATTTATTGTTGAAAATTTTTTGTCTCTTATAAAATTTTGATAAAATGATTTGTTTTAGAGATAATTTGTAAAGTGGGTCAATCCATATCAAATTTTTGAAATTTAATTTTTTTTTTTTAAATTTAGGTCATGTGATATATCATAAAAAGGTCTCTAATAGGCCTTTAAAATAAGCCATCTCTCACCTTTACGAGTACCCAAATTTATCGGAATTTTTTGATTTTCAAAAATCAATAAAACAAAAACCACCCATCGAAAAAAATTCATATATGGGATTTTTGAGTTTTTTAGTGAGGTAAACAAATTTACCAAAAAATATTAAAATCGGAGATGGTGGGGGAAGAACCTTTGGTTGATTTGATATGGACTGACCCATACTTTACAAATTATCTCTAAAACAAATCATTTTATCAAAATTTTATAGGAGACAAATTTTTTTTAACAATAAATGATTACCTGAAAAAATATCGTTTGGAAGTCATTGGCGCACGTACTAAAAATAGGGGGAGTCAGTGAGTACTGGACCCCCCTATTTCGATTATTTGACAATTGTTTTTTGTTTTGTTGGTCTCAAAAAATGTAACTATTTATGTTGAAGTAGTGTACCGAATTTGAACTTAATATCTTATCAATTACTCGAATTATTAAAAAAAATTAGTTTTAAATTTCAAACTTTGTCGCCCTGTATATCGAACATAAAGCTCTAAATTGAAAAATGGTATTATGAAAGTCTTATTGTTTTAACTCAAAGAATATATGGTTAACGGATTGACTTCCTTTTCCCGGACAATAATATATATATATATATTAGGGTGTCCCAAAAAAAAAAGAATATTTTTTTTCTTCTCTTCTCTTGTGAACCTATGTTGATTTGTCATGTTTTAAGAGCCCTGTCAAAAGATCAGCACCATTAAAAAATTTTTAGGGGTCGCTCAAGATTTTTAAAAATTACCAAAATCGTCAAAAATTGGATTTTTTTTAATTTTAATTTTTTTTCTCGTTCTGATATTATTTTTTAATTTAAAAATAATAATGATTCTGAAAATTTCAAATCGATATTTTAATTTCTAAAGGTCGCTCAAGATTTTTTTAACTTTCAAAGTAGAGTATTTTGAATGTTTTCAAGCGACCTCTGAATATAAATATCAACGAACTTTTAGCGACCTTTAGAAATCAAAATATTGATTTGAAATTTACAGAATTTTTATTATTTTCAACCTAAAAAATATTATCTAGACGAGAAAAAGAATTAAAATAAAACAAAAATTCAATTTTTGACGATTTTGAAAATTTTTAAAAATCTTGAGCGACCCCTACAAAATTTTTAATCGAGCTGATATTTTGAAAGGGCTCTTAATAATAATAATAATAAACATCTTTATTGGTTTCCCAACAGGCTATCGACCGTGGTCTTTCTGCCCAATTTTACAAAAAAAATTTATAAATATAATAATTGTTAATTGTAGTTAAAATATTGAATTTATATAAAAAAAAAAAAATATTAAAAACATAAATCTCAAATATTTTAGTCTTCGTTAGTGATGTCCGTGATTATCTCCCATAAAGTTTGTGTAGGATATTTCCTTTTGGGGGGCAGGTTATGGTCTCTACCGTGCATTAAGTTTTCCATAATTTGTATGTTGTGGTGTTTTTTTGCAAATTGGTATGCCAGCTCCTTGAAACGTTCCAAAATGGGGGTGACCTGCGTTGTTTCGTATAGCAGTTGATTTGATGGATTATGAAGTGGATTATCTGGGTGTCTCATTTTGGTGATTATTCTCAAACTACTCCGTTCAGCCACTTCTAGCTTACCTACAGTAGTTTTTTTGCAATTTAGGTAGATTAGGAAGGCATATTCAATAATGGGCCTGCATATCATTTTATAGATTTTAATCGCAGTTTCAGGTTGTATACCGTTATTTTTGTATGTCAGGCTTCTGAAATGTTTGGCTCTTGTAATCATCTTGGTTTTCATTAATTTGGCATGTAAATTGAAATTGAGTTTGCTATCTAAATGTATTCCAAGGTATTTGCATGAATTAGATGGTCGTATTTGTTGATTAAACATTTTTATAGAGGGGGAATTTATATTTATTTTGTGATTGAATATTATTAGTTGAGTTTTATTGGGATTTGGTTTTATTCTCCACTTGGAAAAAAACTGGATTATATTATTGCAGAGATTTTGTAAGTGAATCAAAGTGAGTTTTAAATTTTTCTGGTGTGCAATTAAAGCTTTATCATCTGCGAATTCTAGAATATATGTGTTAGGATTAAATTGTTGAGAATAGATGTCGTATGTGAATAGGTTGTATAGAATGGGGGATAAAGGAGAGCCTCAGTCTATTTTTTAGAAAGTTATTTATAAAGTGAATTAGATATTTTGGACAATTTAAGCTGTATAATTTGTATAATAGGCCGGCATGCCACACACTATCGAATGCTTTACTAATGTCCATGAAGAGAGCTGCTGATTTGTTGCCTTTTAGATTGTTTGTTTGAACATTCGAAGTTAGAATAAGCAGTGGATGGATTGTGGAAGAATTTTTTCTAAAGCCAAATTGATGGGGTGGAATCTTGTCGTCTAGTTCTTCTTCTAGCCTTATTTTAATGATTTTTTCCAATGACTGGTAGTAAAGTAATTGGGCGAAAGTTGGTTGTTTTTGTCAGATCGCAATTCGGTTTAGGAATGTTTATTATAATTCCTTTTTTAAATTCTTGTGGATAGTATCGGTTTTTATTACAGTAATTATATATATCTAAAACTTTTCCATGGAATTCAGCACATAAGTTTTTAAGAGTCTTTTTGGAGATATGGTCATAACCTGGTGCTGTATTTTTGCCGGTATTTAGTACATGATAATATTCCTCTTCAGTAACTTCAGGCACTTCTCCAGGGTCGGTATGGTCGTTAAAGTACAACTCGTACCAGTCATTTATTTCTTTGAAGCTTTGATCATCAAAGTTTATATCTTCCGACATTTCATATATTTTCTTGTAATGTCTGCCAAAAGCATCTGCCACATCCTGGTCCTCATTGAGCACAACATTATTTTCTACAATTTCAACATTTTTATGAGTGTGCTTTTTGTAACCTGAAAGTTTTTTTATTTCTTGCCAATAGTTTTTGCCTTTTAAGTTACTTATATTCTTGCATGCTTCAAGATATTTGGTGGATTTATATTGCAAAATTAATATTTTAATGTCTTTGTTTAAATCATTGAATTTAGATTTTAGGTTTTGGTTATCATATTTGTGGATTTCTCTAAGCATTTGTCTTTTTGTTCTTAATAATCTTAGTATGAAAGGAGGTAGTACTTGATTGTAAAAAGTTTTTGGTTTTTTAGGGGAGTTATCCAGAATATTTATAAAGTGCAGCTTTTATAAATATGGTACTATCAATTATCTCATTTGGATGAATGTATAAAAGAAGTACATGCAATTTTTCATTTTGATACGGTAGTGTAAAATGTAAGCATTCATTTTTTATATTATTAATTTTTGGTGGATTGGCTTTGCCAAGATTAATTTCCGCCCTCGTTTGAACCATGCTTCCCCCTCTTATGTTTTCATTAAAGATATTACCTGGTTTTTGTATTGATTTCCATTGTGATGTTAAAGGTATTATATTTTTGAGTTTTGTTTCCACAAACATTGCACAATCGATATTATTTTTTTGTAAGTAATGACTTATTAAACTTTTTTTAGCTAGGTAGCTGTTTATATTCGTGTAGAGTATTTTTATGTTAGTTTGATTGAATTTGATAGCCTTCTATTGGTTCTGTTGCAATATCTTGATTATCCGAATCATCCATATTTATCATAAATATGTATAACCTATTACCAGAGAATATAGGGGTAGTGTCTATGTTGTACTGCTCTATAAATCGTTTTTTTAATTTTATAATAAGTTTTTCCCTGTCAGTGTTGGCAGGTTT